GAGAGGAGGAGGGGCAGAGAGAGAAGGGAGGGGGCTGTACCAGGGTTCTCACATCTTTAGCTCAAAAGGAAGGTGTGTGCGGCCTTTGTTCTGATTCAGACCTGTCTGCACTGGAAAGGCCTCAGGGATCGAACAAGGAAGGGGGAGGGACCGTCTCCATACCTGTTCTTGTCATCGAAGATCGTCCCAGCCCCAAAACTTCCAAAAAAGGAAGTCTGATTTTGGTTGTTTTTCACTCTTACACAGAAGGCAATTTGAACTTTTTCCTTCCAGAAATATCAGAGCCACTGTTAACACCTTTGCGGGACAAAGGCCAGCCACAAGAGACCAGGCTTCCTTCCTGTGAGGGCAGCGCTATCCTTGTCTCTTGGTAGGAATGCCCGGCAGGGAGAATGAGAAGCCATCACCCATCACACTCAGAAGCTGCAGGGAGCCAGTGAGAGGCCCGGTCAGCTCTGGGGGGGGGAGGGGGGGCATACTGTGCTCTTAGATCAGAATTCCACTCTCCTGCCCCGGGGGCCTTAGAGACCACTCAGGGACACAGACTCACATCAGAGGTGGGAAGGAGCCCCCACAACATGAGCAGGACCATGTCACACACAGAGCTGTGGAGGCAGACACAGGGGAATGCTCAGATCCCTAGAGGGAAAGCTCACGGAGCTGGTAATTCTTAGGCCATAGTTTCCTTGTATTTAAAACAAAACAAAAAACAAGTACATTGTTATCTGGTTTGGTTTGGTTTCTCTCTAAAAATGACATGTGAAGGCTGTGACAGTCTGAGCAGTGAGTTCAGAGAGGAAAGTCACAATTTCTTCAAGGCCTCCAAGCCAGAAAGAACCAGCAGGGTTTCAGCTAGGACCGGGCTGGAATTTTATACAATAAAATGCTGATAAAATGAAGATTCTTGGGCACCCGTTGTAAAACAAAAATGAGGATGAAAAGGGTCTGTGTGTGATCCATGCACCCAAAAGGGAGTAGCGGTCCACGCAGGCCACCATGCCGAGGGAGGGGCTAAGAGTAGTTCCCTAGAGAGTGATGCCTCAAAAATATGGGTGGGGGATTTGTGGATGTTTTGTTTACATTATATCCCAGTACGGCCTCAAACTTTCAGTCCTCCTGCCTCAGCCTCCCAGGTATTGAGATTACAGGGATGACCTGTGTTTGAAGAGTACAGGGTGGAGGGCAATGGGGTAGCTCATTAAATATAAGAGAACACGATCAATGTCTCCGTAACAGCAGAGCCGGCCCTGTCTAATGAGCTCCTGTGTGTGCCAAGTACCGGAGTCAGACAGTTTTCATTAGTGGTCCAATTCGTTTGCACAGCAGTGTTGTGTGAGTAGGAACTTCACCGTTGCCACTTACATCTAAGGAAATAGCACAGAAGGGGATGATGAACTTCCAGGACCAGTTGATATCTAACTAGACCTTGTGTCTTCCTGGAGAACTTCTGAAAAGATTCTGGCATTAGAGGCTTTAATGGCATAGCATGCAACACCCCCAACTCCACCAAGAGTCTGCTTGAGCCAGGTGGTGGTAGTACACACACACCTTTAATCCCAGCACTTGGAGGCAGAGGTAGGTGGATCTTGATGAGTTCGAGGCCAACCTGGTCTACAGCCAGAGCTGTTCACATAGAGAGACCCTGTTTCAAAAAACAAAAACAAAAATTAAACAAAGCAAAATGGAACAAAAGTCTTTGCTCACTAATATACGTAAGCTGAGTCTATTTCAAACCAATCTAAGCCTCATACAGCAGCAGCACATGCATAGGAAGATTGAGGGTTCAGGACAACTCGGGCTGCTTAGCAAGAACCACCCCCCCCCAAAAAAAAAGTAAAACTAAAACCAGTCCTAACAGTTTATGGTCATAAGTCACACTCGACTCTTAAAATGATTTTGAGGGTTTCAAGGAACATTAAAAGAGTCTGTCTCAAAACATGTACCGCCTCACTTCCCAGAAATAAATGGTTCTCTTCCCCTATCTCATTAGGCAGATTTGACTTGTGGAAGGGAAGGGAAGTAGAGAGACATGGGGCTAGCAGCCCAAGAAGAGAATCCCTCTGAGGTTGTTTCCCTCAGGCACCATAGCAGCTTGAGACGCCAGGAAGGACAGACGCCCGCAGGCTGGACAGACGAAAGAGGTGACTACACCCAGAGGGAGCGCTTGTTTAGTTATCATAAGTCAGGGTTCTGAGGTTGGCTCCACCTGCCTTCCTGTGAGACTCAAGGTCCCAGCTCACCCAGCAGCATACACCATCGTCTCCATCTCCAATGGCTCACAGGGCGGCCTGACCCCCAGTCTTCTAACGCAAGGGATCGAGTGAGGAATCCCATCTTCGTTCAGACCGAAAAGACTTAGGCAGAGACTTAGGTTCCGGCTCTGGCGCCAACTGCCACCAAATCATCTGTTTCCAGATAAGCAGGCTCCCCAGAGGGAAGATGCCTGACAGGGAAGGGTTTCCTGCAGCCTCTTAGGGTCCTGGGAGAGCCATAGGCAGGCCTTGTCTGGGCCCTGGAAGCCAAGGACTCCGATGTCCCCTGGGAAGAGGTGAGGGAGATGCCTGGCGGCAAAGGCACTGAGTCATCCCTTTCATTCTCCTGGAGCTCCTCCTGGTTTGGAAAGTGTAGTTGAGAGGCTCTCAGTGTGCTCTGTTCACTCTTCTGGTCATGTGTGGAGCAAAAAGAAAGGGAATTAAGAGACAAACTAGGAGCATTCTCCTGAGCTTGGGACCTTCAGGTCAGTGCTGGGGAGGAACCCGCTGGCACCTGAAATTGGAGGCTACCCAGGATTGGTATAGAATGTCAGAAGACCCAGAAGACCCAAGTCAGAAGCAGATAGCCCCTCACCAGAAGCCCTGAGTCCATTCCCACCATGACACCGGAACAGAGGCTCAGAAAGTGTGACACACAGACTGCTTCTGGCACTATCACCTACTGAGAATCTATTTATAAGGCCTGTCCACCCACGGAACCACAAGCAGGTGCTAGATCCGCACTCCTCTCTAAACAACTACTTCGACTGCTGTTTGGATCTGCTAAGAACTAGTCGGGCCTGGCATGGTGGTGCACCTTTTTAATCACAGCACTTGGGAGGCAGAGGCTGGAGGATCTCTGTGAGTTCGAGGCCATCCTGGTCTACATAAGTGAAATACAGAATGAGAAGAGATATGTAGAGACACCTGTCTCAAAGAAAAAGAAAGAGAGAGAGAGAGAGAGGGAGGGAGGGAGGGAGGGAGGGAGGGAGGAAACACAACAGGGAAGGGAAGAAGGAGGAGAAGAAAGCCAGGTGGTGGTAGCACACATCTTTAATCCCAGCACTCCAGAGGCAGGTGAATTTCTAAGTTCAAGGCCAGCCTGGTCTTCTGAGTTCCAGACAGCCAGGGCTACCTAGAAAAACCCTGTATCAAAAACCAAAACAAAACCACAAAAAAGAAGAAGAAAGAAAAAAGAGAGACCCACTCTGAGCCCTGAGCCTGGTCTACACCTAGAACACCACCAGGGACATTAAGACAGGCTGAACCATGAGTTCAGCCAGCTTGGGCTATGAAGTGAGATCTGCCGCAATACTAAACAAAAAACGGTCAGCAAGATGGTTCATTTGATACAGGAGCTTGCCTCTCGGTCTGAAGACCTGAGTTTGATTTCCGGAGACCCACATGGTAGGTGAGAACGGACTCCCCCAAGTGTCCTCTGATCTCCATACATGTGCCATGGCGTGTGTGCAGACACACTAGATAAAGGTACTAAGAATAAATCAGTAAAACTCAGCAACAACACAGTGTTTTAAACCTTCACATTTTGACCCTGGAGGCTTATAACCCTTTGAAAACCAGAGTAATGAATTTGGTCTCTGACTCCCTGACCCTCTTTAACCACATGTGCCCCAAACGCCAGAAGGTCTGTGGGGATCAGCAGGGCTGAAGATGGGTTTCCTGCTGCCTGTGGAGAACTGAGCATTTCCTGTGCCCCGTGCCTCATTAGCACACTGGTGAATGTGCTTCCTGTCTGAGTCTTTCCATTCTGCCAGAGCAGTTTGAGATTTTTCACTCTGTTCTGGGGGGGGGGGGTGAGGGGGACTTGTGGAGGAAAAGGAGCTTTTCACAGATTTGCTGGACCTCTGTGCACCAACAGGCAGAAACTAGAGAGCAGCCCAGACACTTCACACTGGGAACATCAACACCGCTTTCTGCGGTGGCCATTGTGGTCGCCCCCAATGAAGCAAACCTGATGCTTTGGAACCGTGTACCAACTCAGCCTGGAATTGCAGGTGAAGGGAGGGAGGCTTGGGTTCATTACTGTTGTTGTTAGTACTAGTAGTACAGTTATTTATAGTGTGTGTGTGTGTCTGTGATCAGAGGGCAACTTGTGGGAACCGGCTCTCTCCTTCCACTGGGAGGATGTTGATGGGGGCAAACTTGGGTCATCAGGCTGGCAATAAGCACCACCTCTACCTGAAAAGCCATCGCACCAGCCCAAAAAGGGGAGGCAGTTGGGAGAAAGTTCTAAAACAGAAGATTAGAATCTTTAGAAAGAAAAAACAAAACAAACAAACAAACAAAAAACTGTTCTTTGTATGTGAGACCTTTGGTGAATACAATCTGGGAAGAGTGGCTGGGAGGCTGCCCTGATGGTGGAATGTTTGCCTATGGTGTGCACAGCCCCAGAGTCCCAGCCCTCGCCCTACATACGGAGTGATGGGACACATGCCTGTAAGCCCCAGTACTAAGGAAGCAGAGGCAGCAGGATCAGAAGTTCGAGGTCATCTTCAGCTATATATTTTGGCGACATAAAGAGTTCTAGGCTACCTTGAGATATAAGAAACCCTACTTGAATGGCTGTCCCGGGCTAGTCTGAGATACATGCAACCCTATCTAAATAAATAAATGTATAAGAAATTTCAAGAGTAAAAAGAGATATGCTTGGGGGAAACAAGGAGATCTGAAGAATTTTCTGTCATTCTTATATTATCTACTTTTTTTTTCCTTTTTTAAAAAAGGTAGCTGTATGCAAAATACATACCAGTTTGCCTTTCTTTCCTATGAATCAGCAACTTAAAGTCAAGAGAAGGGCAACCACACTGGCTAGTCAATACTGACACCGAGAAGACTTAGACATCGCAGAGCCCCAGGGATGTATACCACACCGGCCCGACCATACGTCACAAGAAGGGACTCGGGGCCCAGCACTTCGCAGGGGACCCCTGGCAGCCTGGAAGGGTGAGTACTCTGGGGAAGTAAACTATACTGTCCCTGGTAGTGTTGCCCCACCTGCAACCCAGGCCTGGGCCAGCAAAATGTGAGCTGGGAGGGAGGAAAGGAAGGAGACGGAGGTGGAGGACCTGGCAGCTGAAATTCTGCTTGGGTTTCCTTGCTCTCGGGGGCCCACCTCAATCTTCCTACCATGAAAGAAACAAGAGTCCTAGTTCCTCAGCAATGAGATTTTAGATCCTAAAACCTTGTCACGAGATGGAAATGTAGAGACAGAAGCCATAAAGTTGCTGGGTGGCGGTGGCACCGCCTTTAATCCCAGCACTCGGGAGGCAGAGGCAGGCGGATCTCTGTGAGTTCGAGGCCAGCCTGGTCTACAAGAGCTAGTTCCAGGACAGGCTCCAAAGATACAGAGAAACGCTGTCTCAAAAAGAAAGAAGTCATAAAGTTTTAGGACATAAGATCTTACAGACTAATCATGGACGTAAATTCACCCCCCCCCAAGATCTCAGATAAACAAAAGTTAAGTGTCTATTGGGTGTTGGGCTTTAGAAATACTAGTGGATGTAAATTTCAGTGCTCTGGCCAAAGTAGAACCCAATGGAAGTGTGCTTTTTCAATTGCTGTAGTTTTAGGAAAATTTAATACCATTACCAGAGTAAATTCATGCCCCTTGCAGGTAAAACATGCGTGTTAAAGAGACACAAGAGTTAATATTTGTTGTTGAAGCCTGAAGCACCCTCCCAAAGCTCTTTCCTTTTTCTTTTGCTTTCTTTCTTTTTTTGGGGGGGGGAAGGGTGGAGAGGTCAGAGGGCAATTTCCAGGAATTGGTTCTCTTCTTTTGCCATATGGGTCTCAGGGATCAAACTCAGAGTGGCAGGCTTGATACCGGGTACCTTCGCCCACTGAGTCAGCCCACCGGCTCCTGAAACTATTGCTTTTTTTTAAGTTGATTTTTATTTAGTTGTGGTTTTTCACTTTATAACTCAAAATTAAAATTTGTATGGGTATATTATGCTTAGCATGTTGTTTTGAAATATGTACACATCGTAGAGGGCTAAGTTGAGCTAAGTAACACATGTATTAGTGACAAACAGATAACCAAATCAATATAGTGTGGCCAGGGGAGATCTCTCTAAGGAGGGTGACAGCACTGTAGAAGAGAGTTAAATGGAATGAGGAACTTGTCCAGCCTGAGTACCTGGAGAGGGAGAGGGAGATAGAACTATTCTTCGTGGTCAGGAACAGCAAGAAGTTATGGTGGTCAGAAGTTAATCAGGAGAAGCCAGATCACATTATGCAACAAAAAAGAAGAAGGAAGGAAGGAAAAAGGAAGGAGGAAGGAAGGAAGGAGGAAGGAAGGAAGCAGGAAGGAAGGAGGAAGGAAGGAAGAAGGAAGGAGGAAGGAAGGAAGGAGGGAGGGAGGAAGGAAGCAGGAAGGAAGGAGGAAGGAAGGAAGGAGGAAGGAGGAAGGAAGGAAGGAGGAAGGAAGGAAGCAGGAAGGAAGCAGGAAGGAGGAAGGAAGGAAGGAGGGAGGAAGGAAGGAAGGAGGGAGGGAGGAAGGAAGGAGGAAGGAAGGAAGGAGGGAGGGAGGGAGGAAGGAGGGAGGGAGGGAGGAAGGAAGGAAGGAAGGAAGGAAGGAAAGAAGGAAGGAAGGGGAAGAAAAGAAACAAATCCTCACTAAGTACATTCATTGTCACCATGACAGAAAGCCACGGAAGATTCTCAGTGGAGGAGAGACGAGGAACGACTTACTCTTTACAGTGATCATACTAGCTCATGGGTGTGCATGGTATGTTGAAGTCAAGAGTGAAAGCCAGGAGAGCCACCGGGGAGGTGACCACTGCAGAAGTCCACCTGGAACTCGTGGTGGCTTCTGTCACCCTGGTGGCTGGGCCCGAAGCAGACGTCCTTGCCCAGGGCAGAGGGGATTAGCTGGGAGTAGAACATGAAAGAGCAGTCAGGCAGGAGCGGCACCAAGGGTGTAGACTGCGATGCCATGTGGCTGGAAGAATAGAGGAAAAGCCGGTGTGTAGAAGCAGAATGGGAGCCCGGTATTGGTTTGAGATGTCTATTGGACAGCTGAAGAGAAATGGCCAACAGACAATTGGGGTCAATAAACCCAGAACTCAGCATGGGAAAAAACCTTTCCAGGTACGACCTGGTTTTAATATTTGGGGGGGGGGGGTGGTCAGCTGCTTGTTCCTGCTGGGCTTCCGCTGCCTACTTCCTGCTGGAGTGGGTGTGGCTGCCTGCTGCTGCAATCCTCTGGATGCATTTCAACACCCAAGCCGAGCCATGGCTGCACCCTGCCCGAGAATCGCAAGGCTGCTCAAAGCTAGTGTTGGTTAAATTTCACCCAACAGGCTAGTGTTGCTTAGAGACCAGCTCCACATTTGGGGGTTACTCAAGTTCATGTAAGCTGGACTCTGTCACAGAGTCTGATAATGAGTTGAGTAATCCTCTCCCAGCAAGCCAGGAAACCCAGGGGCAGGAATGAGGGGGAAGCCCAGCCAGATGTGTTTGGCTTTGGAGGTTTGCAGATAGTCAGGGTAGAAAAAGAATGATCCCTGGGTTAAACCAACCTAGACTCTTTTTTTTTTTTTCCTTCCTTTTCTTTTTTTTTCCAAGGCTGGGTTTCTCTGTGTAGCTTTGGGACCTATCCTGGCACTCGTTCTGTAGACCAGGCTGACCTCAAACTCACAGAGATCTGCCTGCCTCTGCTGGGATTAAAGGCGTGCACCACCAGCACCTGGCCAACCTAGACTCTTCCTATTCTGGCTCTGTGCCTTCTGCTCTATAAGATCTTGGCTCTGTTACTTTTCCTTTCTGGTCTCAGGATCCTTAGGCATAGATAGGAGCCGTATAAGGCTTTGTGAAGATTAAATAATGAGCTGCATATGCAAGCCCCTAGCACCTGGTAGTGAAAGACCCTCAGAGCGTGGACCCTCACACTCCGACTCAGGAAACGTGACACCCCAAATCACTCACGAGAAGCGGTCTTGATGCAAACTGCATGAGGAGTGCACTGGGGTCCACAGTCATGGGCCACGCAGGGGTAGAGAACTGAGGACCCCGAGTGCAGAATTGAGACAGCTTTTATAGGGTTACAACAAAGCCTGTGCATCACAAACCAATCATCTCATAGCACCCAGAGCCCCTGTGGTGCAGGCCAATCAATTTAAACCATTTTATAGTTTTTAGACCAATCATTTAAAATCATCCAAGCCACACTTTATAGACCAATCAGTTTTCTATAGCCCCAGAGGTCTGCATTTGCGCGGGCTCCTAGACCTTTCGCCTATTTTCTGGCAGAGGGCAGGGTCTGGAATTTATGGTATTTATGGCTTTTTAGATAGTATTTTTAAACTTCTAGCTTCCTGGGGTCATTGGAGAGTTAGGCTGTATTTTCCATCCTTTCAGTAGGCCTTGAAAGGGGTGGTTGGATTTCCCATATGCAAAGCTCTTCTCTCCATGAAGTTGCTGCAAACACTCCCAACCACTGAACCGTCTATCCAGACCCCAGATCTGACTTCCTGGTGCTCTATTTTGTCCCCTCCACCTCAACATCCTTTGTCCAGCTCCCATTCTAAATCCTTATGTTACAAGGGGGCTCTTCTTGAAGGAAAGAATACAAGCACAAGACATACACAATTTAAACCAAAGTTCATTTAGCAAAGGTTAGCAAAGCAAACACTCCAAAGAGAGATCGGAGGAAGTGCTTCAAGGCGAGGAACAGCTAAATGAGCACTGCACTGTTGATTTAAAAGAACCTTTTATGAATATGGTAGGTAGGTGGCTTTGTCACAGGGTAAGATGTCCTTCTTCTCTTTCTAAATCATGGTGGTCCAGGTCTCGCTTTTAGAGTAATTCTTCTCATGACCCCTACAAATGGTGGAAGATGTCAAAACTGTAATGCAAAGTGATACAATAACATCAATCTTCTGAGTGTGTGTATATAGGAAACCGCCTTGGTTTCTGATACAGCAGGAAGAACTTAATTTCAGCTTCAAGGATGTTTAACCGCGAAGGGCATCTGGCCATCGGGGGAATCAGCTAAGATCCAGTGTTGGTCTCCCTCCATTTCTTCATTTCTGTCTCTGCCTACCTGGTATCATTTGGGCTCTATCTCCTGAAAGAAATGTCCTCTCCAACATTCCCAAGCCCAGATCTTATGTCCAGCTGGGGCATGACACCTGGTTTCCCTTCTAGAAAGAAAGGCCAGAACAACAGCATCTACCCTGTCTTTGTGGTACTCCTGGTTGCCTTCCTGGTCATCGTGGCTGCCTGCATCCTGTGCAACTGGAACAAACGGAAGAAGCGTGAGTTGCGTCATTGTCTCCAGTTTAGATTCTGTAGGGTCAGCCAGGCGGCGGTGGCGCATGCCTTTAGTTCCAGCACTGGGGAGGCAGAGGCAGGTGGATCTCTGTGAGTTCAAGGCCAGCCTGGTCTACGGAGCGAGGTCCAGGACAGGCTCCAAAGCTACAGAGAACCGTGTCTGGGAAACAAACAAAAGCAAAAGAAAGAAAGAAAGGGAAGAGAAATGTATCTATTATGATACCTGGTGAGGCCCGGGACTGCTGCTGGGGAATTTTCATCCTGAGAGTCCCCATGTTCTACATTCTGACATACTCTCTCGTCCATCACCTTTCAGGGAGAGTTCCTTACTTCCAAGTAACTCCATCGCTGACTCTGCCTCCACCCAGACAGCGAGCCAAAAATATTTATGACTTCTTGCCCCAGCAGCAGGCAGAGCTGGGTAAGTCTTTCCTAATCCACCAGTTTTCAACCTGTGGGGTCACGACCCCTTTGGGGGGGGGAGTCAAACGACCTTTTCACAGGGGTCAGATATTTATATTTATGATTCATAAAAGTAGCAAAATTACAGTTATGAAGTAGCAACAAAGATAATGTTGAGGTTGAGAGTTACCGCAGCATGAGGAACGGTATTAAAGGGTGGCAGCCTCAGGAACGAATGTTGTGAACCACTGTCCTAATCCATGGAGTCCTGACACTCTAAATTTATACTCCCAAGATGCACCTCTCACCACCCAGAAGCAGCTTTCTCCAGGAATCCAGGCTGCACAGCAGCACTGAGTAGTCTGCCCCTCCCGTGGGCAGCCGCGCTGGGGAGGGGTCTGCTTTCTCTTGGTTTGGGGCAACAGAGGAAAGCCAGTTATGTCGTAGGTGGTGGGGACGTGAATACGCCGGGGACACCGGCATTGTAAACAGGGATGGGGAGTTCTCCACAGACATGCCTGAGAATGCGTTCTGGTCTCAGAGCGCCACCCTGTAACTCTGACTTAATTAAGCTCATAGAACGCCAGACAAGCCAGGTTCTCACAGGCACCACCAACCTCCATTGGCCAGCTAGCAGAGATACAGGGGCAAAAGCACTCTGAAGCCCACTGCCTTCGGGGTTCATTTTGTTGCTGCAGGGAGACATCAGTCGAACGGTTTCAGCACTGAGAACCTCCTGTCCAGAGATTCCGATAGCCCTGAGCACGAGGTAAGAGTCAAATGGAAAGAAGTCACAGACAGTGACAGAGGCCCAAGGGAGCGGGGTTTTGGTCTCAGGTCTGGTTTTACAGCAGATGAGCGTCATTTGGCACACACACTGGCCAAAGAAGAGAAATTCTGTTTAACGTATGGCTGGTGTGGTGACACATTCCTGTAGTGTAGCCCTCAGGGAGACAAGGGCAGGTTGGCAGTTAGAGGCTAGACCGAGCACATTGTGAGTTTCAGGCCTACCTACACTACATAGGAGTATCATTCCAAGACAGGAGCGAGGGAGGAGCCAGCGCTTAGGGTTTTAAGAAAGGCATATTCTTTAAAGTATATGATGCTAGAACTGAAAGCGATTGTCTTAATAAAGACATGACAATTTGTCTACCCAAACAACAGCTGCTTCACTCAGAGTGGTCACTCCAGGGATCCGTAGCTATTTCAACAATGTTGTTCGTGTTCAAATCACACTTTAAACCCATCTCCAAAAAAAAAATGTTTACATTTTATTTTTCCTGCATGCATGTATGAGTACCATGTACGTGCCTGTTGCCCAGGGAGTTCAGGATGGATCACTGGATCCCCTGGAATGGGAGCTATAAATGGCTGTGAACCACCATGTGGGTGCTGAGAATTGAACCTGGGTCCTCCGAAAGAGCAGCAAGTGCTCTGAACTGCTGAGTAATCTTCCCAGCTCCTAACACTCACCTTTGGGAATTACTTGTAGGGCCTATGCGAAACCCTTTCAATTATCCTGCAGAGCAGAGATTTCCGTAAGTCGGTCATTCAGCTCTGAAGCTGATATAGAAAGCACTTGATCATTGAGAGCGTGCTGGTCCATTCACGGTACTAGACAATGAGCGGAAAGGTATTTAGCTGGAAAGCCAAGGTCAAGGGGACGTATCTGACGAGGCTTTCATGTTGTCATAACTTTGCACGAGGCATCATACAGCAGAGGACAAAATCCACTTATCAAGATCTCATTCCTTCAACAACTAGTCTACTTCTGTACTAACAAGGTTACTTGTCTTAAAGTTATGATAGTTTTTAAAATTACAGTATCTCTGACTCATTTGTTTTGTGTGTGTGCAAGTATTAGGGGGTGTGCGCATGTCACCACACGTATGTGGAGGTCAGAGGACAACTTGAGGCAGTCGATTGTTTTCTTCCATCACGTGGATCCCAGGGACTGAATTTGGGTCATCCAGCTTGATGGCGGGCACCTTTACTGCTGAGCCATCTCACTGGCCCCACCCCTTAACCACCTCTTTAAGGCCCCAGTCCCATTCTTGCATAGCAACTAAGCCTCCAACATGGGGACTTGGGAGACTCATTCAAAGTGCCGCAGATCGCGACCACTGAGTAACGATGTCCTGTGTGTCTGTGATCTGGCGCTGAGGTTGACTCTCGGGAAGTCCAGAGGCGGTTTGGTCTGGGGTCAGGATGTTGCCTTTCACGGTCAGTATGTTCGCTAGAAGTCAGTTGCTCTGTGATGGTTCTTGGCTCAGTGGGGATATTACAGATGGAGAAGCTGTTGTTGCTGAGAAGTTGAGGTTCCCAGAAAGCCATGCCACAGCATGGCCTTTGCTTATTCTTATTATTATTCGTTGGTCTAGGACTCTCTGGAGTATCTGAAAAAGGGAAGAGGAAAGGAAACTCCGTTAGCAAAGCTTGAGTGGTCCCCGAGGGGATATCTGTCTTTAACCTATGGATCTGTCTGGCTTGGATTCTGTAGTGCTTGAAAAACATTTTGAGCTGGGCAGTGGTGGCACATGCCTTTAATCCCAGCACTCAGGAGGCAGAGGAAGGCAGCATTTCTGAATTCGAGGCCAGCCTGGTCTATAGAGTGAATTCCAGGACAGCCAGGGCTATACAGTGAAACCCTGTCTCACAATGAAAAACATTTTGAATCGGTTGCCAACATTTAATAGCTAGTGTGGTGACGCACACCTTGAATCCTAGTACCTGAGAGCCAGAGGCAGGCAGATCTCTGTGAGTTTGAGGCCAGCTTGGTCTATATAGTGAGTTCCAGGACATCCAGAGCTACATAGTGAGACCCTGTCTCAAAATGAATAAAACCAAAAATAAAATAAAACTAGTATCTTGGCATGGAGGTTTATGCCTACAAAAGCACTCAGAAGACTAAAGCAGGATTGCCTATAAGCTGAAAGCCAGCCTGGGCTACATGGTAGGTTCCAGATGCATGTGAGCAACAGAGGAAGGCCTTGTCTTAAAAAAAGTGGGGGGGGGGTGTCACATTAGAGGTCCTCATGCTTTTCTTGACATTTCTGGAATCCTAGAAACTGGCATCCTTCATTTTTTTAGTGTTTTCTACATGCTAACACTGTTCTGGACACACCGTAACTCTTTGCAGTAACTCTTTGACCACAGACATTGTGGCATTCCTCAATTTGTAGACTAGGAAATGAGGTACCAAGGGAAGTCTTTGAGACTCACTCAGCCGGCATCGTGGCAAAGCTGGGGTTTGCACCCTCGGGCCGAATCTAAGTCTCCATCCTGGGCCCATGCATCGCCCCTCGGGCCAAATCTAAGTCTCCATCCTGGGCCCATGCATCGCCCCTTGGGCCGAATCTAAGTCTCCATCCTTGGCCCATGCATCGCCCCTCGGGCCGAATCTAAGTCTCCATCCTGGGCCCATGCATCGCCCCTCGGGCCGAATCTAAGTCTCCATCCTTGGCCCATGCATCGCCCCTCGGGCCGAATCTAAGTCTCCATCCTGGGCCCATGCATCGCCCCTCCAGTGTGCACTGGTGAACCCCACCTCCTCCTCTGTGTCACTCTCTCCATTGACTCCTCCCCTTCCACGGGAGCCATAACACCTCCTTTCAGCCACTGTTTTCCATAATGTGTTCTGCCGTACTAAAGGGTTAGACCTAGGTCCTTATGTGTGCTGCACAGGTACTCTACCACTGAGCCACGGGCCCAGCATTGCTTTCCCTATGCTAACCCCACTCCCCTCAAGCCCTCAACGTCCCTGCACCCGACGCCTTGCAGTGTGAGTCCCTCACTTGGAGCTCAGCTCTAAACTGAAGGATGCCAGGCAATGCAGGACGGAAGAGTGGCTGTGACCCTGTTTCTGTTCCCATCCGGTCACTTTGTCTTCTTCTTCTCAGGCCTCCCAAGCAGATGGTTCCCTTCAGATACACAGAGCTTCTGTCCACGCTGTGGAGTACACAGTAGGCATCTATGACAATGGCACAGTGCCCCAGATGTGTGGGCACCTGGCCCCCTCCGTATATCATATCAGCAACCCCAGCATTTCTTCCACGGAGTCAAATGACTATGTCAATGTCCCCACGGCAGAAGAGACCAGTGGGTCTCTAACTTCTACCAAAAGCACTCCTGAAAACCTCCGTGGCCTTCCCGGTGCCCAGAAGCTGGAGTTTGCTGAAGGGGGGCTCGCAGGCTGTAGGGCTGCCACTGGCCACACTGGTTTGTGGGCTCCAGGAAGTAAGTACAGCGCATCACTCAGTGACGGGGAAGATTCATCTCGGAGTTCAAACGACTACGTCAATATGACAGGTTTGGATCTTGACAATGTCCAAGAGAATCAGCCCAGGTTGGCTTTTCAGTGCTGCGGAGATTATGAAAACGTCCCAGCAGCAGCAGACGCCAACGGAAGCCAGCTGGAGACTCGGGAAGACGGGGGACCCTCACGTACAGACCGTGGGGAGCCTGTCTGGACGGTCCTGCCTTCCGTGTATTACACGGCGTGTCAACCGTCTACACAGAGTGAGGATGGTGAGGTGATACACGCAGAAGCGCCGTCAGATGAAGACTCTAATGACTATGAGAATGTGCTAGCTGCCGACTTGGGAGGGGTCTGCCAACAGGGGCCTGGTGCTTGGCCTCCTTCTGATAGTGGCACACCAAGCTACCTAGCTGCAAAGTTTCCTGAGGTGGCCAGTCCTGCTGGATCTTTAGCCACTGAAATCTCTAGGGAAGATGCCTAAGTGCCGTAGCATCCTGTTGGATTCGATTGGTCAGGCTAAGGAGGCTGAGCGGAGCTGGGCCCTAGCAGAGGCTGCAGAAAAGCAAAGGTTTAGGAAGCCCAGAGAGAGTTCTCCTTAGTCAAGGTTGCTGCTGTTAGCTTTCAGGCCAACTGAAGTAAGCTTAGTGACACTGTCTTACCGGGATGGTAGAAAAGGCACAGCACATAGCACTTAGAATAAAGATGAGATATGTCAAAAATAATCACCTTCACAAACACTGGAGAAGTGTAGATGATTTTGTGAGTCAGGCAGGCGGGAAGGAGGAACAAGTTGGGGTAGGGCAGGCAATTTTCAGTTAAAGAAGAGCTGGTGAGGATGTAAAACTATGACAATCCTGTTGCTCTAGTGTGATTGCAAGCTTGTTGTATGAACCCTTAGGAACTGAGACCACTTTCCAGTGTATACTGGAGTTGTACAAATAAGTTATTCCGTTGTAGGTAAGGAGGGACGGGTTCCCTGTAAAATGTTTTTATTATATTAACCTGAGCTATATATGGCCATTTACATATAGGCATATAATGTACTCTGAGATGTCCACCCATCCCTCAAAATGTTCCCTTTTCCCATCTTTCTCCTTCCAACGAAACCACTGCATTCCCCTGGACAATCTCACTTCGACTTTCCTATCATCTGAGCATATATAATTTTATGTATCCATATAAAAATCTAGGACCCACTAATGAGAGAAAACATGTGATATTTGTTTCTTAATCAGTGTGGTACTGACTGTGGTCAGATAAAACCTCCGTGTGGTTTTAATTAGCATTTCTCTGATGGCCAATGATGGTAAACCCTTTATTGGACATCTGTATTTTATCTTTTTTTAAACGCCCTACAGACATGCCTAAAGCCTGATTTTTCTTTTTATCATATTATTTTTAAAATTGTTATTGCACGAACATTGGTGTTTTTCTTGCATGTATGTCTGCGAGGATATCCTCTGGAACTGGAGTTAGAGACAGCTGTGAGTTACCATGTGCGTTCTGGGGACTGAGCCTGGGTCTTCTGGAAGAGCAGCCATCTCCCCAGCCCTGTTCTTCATTTTTAAAGAACTATCTATTTCTCTCTCTCTCTCTCTCTCTCTCTCTCTCTCTCTCTCTCTTCTTTCTCTGCTTTTTCAAGACAAGGTTTCTCTGTAGCTTTAAAGGCTGTCCTGGAACTCGCTCACTAGACCAGGCTGGCCTTGAACTCACAGAGATCCACCTGTGTCTGCCTCCTGAGTGCACCACCACCACCAGGCCACTCTCATTAGCTCTATGAATGAGTGAGTGTGCGTGAGTGTGTGAGTGTGTCCCTGTGTCCACTAGGATGACCTAGGCAATGTCACTGAACACTCAGACCCTGGTCCCTAGCACTACTCTCCAGGAGAAGGAAGAAGGACCTGCCAGAGAAGTGGCTTGTTCTAATGCTGCTTGTAAAAGGAGGAAAGGGCGTAAGGAAGAGAGAGGCAGGGAGAGAGAGAAGCCAGATGCCAAGAGTTCCCAATCCTAAACCCTGGAATAATTTAAGCAATGAAAAACAAGTAATTATAGATTAGTAGTTCAAACGCTGTGCAGAAAGGATAAGGCAAATAGACAAATCGCCACTAACCACCCTAGAACCATGTTGCCAGTAAAGCCACTGGTGATGGTAAGATCAGAGACTGATACCAAGAGGCCAGATCATAACAGAACCTCAGGGAATCTTCCCTAAATGTTCACTCACTATTGCGATAGTTTTAACACTTGTCCACAAACTTTCCCATATCCCCCTGAGGCCTGAGCCTTCTCTCCTTTGATAGAGGCTGCATCTAATGATGTATTTCTAATAGCCAGAATAGGAAAATGGTAAAATACTAAGTTTATAATGGGAAAACCTAGCAGATACCAGCTTCGTCAAACAATTACAGTCACTCAGCACTAACTTACAGTGATGGTACGTGCTGCTGACAGGACCAAGAATACCATAAAAAATAAAATAAAATAAAATCCAGAGCTCCAGCCTTGTTGAAATGTGGACTGGGCTGGGGAGGTGACTCGCTGGTTGAGAGCATACAGTACCCTGGCAGAGGACGTGAGTTGGACCCCCAGAATCCATGTCAAGTGCTCACAAGTACCTGTATCTTCAGTTTCAGGGAGATCAAAAGCCTCTGTCTCTCAGGGACACTTGCACGCTCAAGCACATACCTACACATAGACCTCCACATTGACACATAATTAGAAATAATAAAATAAACCTTTTAAAGAGAAAAAAAAAATCCAAACGGGATGCCTTTGTACAGATGCCTAGCCAGAAAAGATTGAGAAATTGTCACTGGTTAGAAGAGACTAAGAAGTCAGGACTAAATATAACACAACACCTCAGACTGGATTCTTCAATAGAGGAACAGATGAGATTCCAAACAGCCATATTTGGGTAGCAACATTGTGTTAGTGCTGATGTCTTCAGTTTTATGGCTATAAAGTGACCATGTAAGACATCAACACTAGAGAAAGTGAGATAAAAAGGTGTATGAGAGTAACCAAAGCTATTCTTTCAGTTCTTTTGTAAGCCTAAAATTATTTCAAAATAAAAATAAATTTAGCAGAGTGATGGTGGAGCAGGACTTTAACAGGGGAGGCAGAAGCAGGCGGATCTCTGTGAGTTCGAGGCCAACCTGGTCTACAGAGTGAGTTCCAGGACAGCCAGAGCTACATAGTGAGACCCTGTTGCAAAAAAAAAATTATTATTATTATTTAATATAATTAAATTATATAATTAAATATATTTATTTGTATTTATATAATACAATTAATATATAATTAAATATAATATATTTATATTGATAATTAAACATAATTATAAATATATATACATATATATACAAATAAATATAATTAAAGCCTAGATTTAATACTTAGGATTCCCTAGAGAAATAGACCCAACAGGATGCATATGGACCACCAAGGAGACTTACAAGTTTGACTTACATAACGGGGCTGGGTAATATAACAAACGCTACCTGCACTCTGGAGAGACAGAGAACCGGCTACTAGGTCTACAGATGGGAAACAGTGCCATTGCCCAAAAAACTCACAGTGACTATGGTTACCTATACAAGGTCAAGCCGGTGAGTCAGTCAGCATTTCAGCAAGCAGCTGTAACTGGACTCAGTGGGTTACAAAAAAAAAATTTTTTTTTATTTGAAGAGAGAGAGAGAAAAATGGGAAGACAGGAAGGAGATGTGGGGGACCAGGAGAAGTTATAATGGGATAAATAGTAGGTGGGTGTTATCAAAGTGTATTATATGCATGGATGAATTCTCAAAGGACAGATTAAAATTGTTATTTTTAAAAGGTAAGTAATCGATTGTGATTCCTTAAGTAGTTAAACAGTAGATTAATTAATTACTTGTATTAGTCAGGGTTCTGTAGAAAGGAACAGAACTGATAGAATGTAACATGTACATACATATACACATACATGGTGTGTGTATGTGTGTTTGTGGGATTTTTTTTTTTTTTTTTTTGAGACAGGATCTCTTTGTTATGTAGTCCTGGCTGTCCTGGCTCTCTGTAGACCAGGCTGGCCTCGAACTCACAGAGATCCACCTGCCTCTGCCTCCCGAGTGCTGGGATTAAAGGCGTGCGCCACCACCGTCAGGGTCTTTCTTGTCCTTTCATCCAGGCTGCCCCCAGAAAGTGTGGCTCACATTTAGTATGTGTGTGTGTGTGGGGGGGGGGTCTTCCTACTTTCAATAGGATCAAGAAAATTCCTTATGGGAGTGTCCAGCAGCTTGGGTTTCAGTTGATTCCAGATGCAGTTAAGTCGGTAACCAAGATTAGCCATCACATCATCTCCTGACTGGTGGTGATTGTCTCCTCGTTCAGAGCACTACCTAAGTATAAAATACAGAGAGTTGTTAAGTCCCTCTTTCCCTCTGGAAGACAAGTTTTGACAAGCAGAAGTCAAGACAAACTCGCAGTTCCTCTGGCATCTGTCCTCCCTGATAAGTTAGTGCCCTGGAGGGCCTTATCATCTTTTCTGGCTTTTCTGTAGACTGAGGGTGTGTACTAACCTGCAATATGCCGGGGGCCTGAGCCTCTAGAGTTAGAAGAACGTGGAAATCAACTGGCCTCTCTTTCCTCTTGCCTAGCAGCCCCCCTTAGTATCCCCAGCTCGAGACTGCCTACGTAGATGTCCATTTCAACCCTGAGGGATTAGGATCTTTTCTGGCAGACTCTTCCTCCAATCAAAAGAACTGGAGGCTTTTCACAAGCAAGGCATTTCCTATGCAGGGTCAGCCCCATCACACACCTACACACAGGACCTCAGTTTAATGACCCACCGTCACCACCCTGAAATCCCACCCCCCCCACACACACACCCCACCTCTCAAAAAAAGAAGCACAAATGGCCAAAAAAATATTTCTGAAGTATTGGAAGGCGTTCCTGCTCTGTTGAGCAGTGGGCGTGTGTTTCCATTGTTAGCAACACCAGCAGGGCCTTAACTGGGAGTGGCTGGTGTTGAGGCGGAAAGCACAACCTTCAAGGGCTGCCAGAGACCAGACATGTCAGAGTGAAGCTGGGGGGGGGGGGGATGAAGTAAAAAGCAGTCACCAGGGCTAGTCTGGGTGTGTAGGGTGTGCCTTTAACCCCAGCACTGGAGAGGCAAAAGCAGGCAGGTCTCTGTGAGCCTCAGGCCAGCCTTGTCTACATGGTGAGTTCCAGGGTAGCCAGGGCTAAATAGTGAGACCCCGTCTTTGAGACAAACCTCCAGAAAAGATTGTAACTTCCTATTAGTCCCTTTAGAAGAAGCTCAGCAACACCTGTAATCTTGTCAGAAACAAATAATTTTTAACGGTTAAAAGTAATCAAACGCAGGGTGGTTGTACCACATGCCTTTAATCCCAACACCCAGGAGGCGAGGCAGGAAGAAGGTCCAGTGTGTTCAAGGCCAGCCTGGTGTACATAGTAAGTTCCAGTTGAGGCCAGGGCTATGTAGAGAGACCTGTCTCAAAAGAAAAAAACAAAAAACAAAAAAAAACAAAAAAATGAAAGAAAGAAAAGAGAAGTAATCTTGAAATAACAGATCTATTTTCTGTCCCTTGTTTCTGCTGTCTTCAGTGGCGTTTCATCTCAACAGTAGACAAGTAACTAAGATACTAGCCAAGGTTATGTAGGAAGACCTTGTCTCAAAAGGAAACAAAATTTCAAGCTGTGGATTTAGCTCAGTGGCAGAGGATTTTCCTACCACGAGTGAAGTGAAGTGCAGCGGTCTAACCCAGAACACAGAAAAAGAAGGGGAAGAGAAGGGGGAGAAGGGAGGAGAAGGGGGAGAGGGGAGGAGGAGGGGGAGGAAGGGAGGAGGGAGGGAAGAAGCAGGGGGAGGAAAAGAAAGACGCAGCTAAAAATAAGACCAAAGACTTCATTGAGTTTAAGGCTCTAATGGACGTTGGTTAGCAATGCAATGCCTCGGTCAGGCAATGTCCTATCCCCGAAATAAAAAGGTTCTCCAGTGAGCCCAGCCGAGTAGACTTTACAGGTCCCAAATCGCTGAAGTTCATATGTGCAGCCATCCTGTTCTGTCTGGGAAACAGTTGGAGCCATCTGCCACCTCTGGCTTTTACGCTCTTCCTGACTTCTCTTTCTCAAGGCTCCCTGAGTCTTCAGGGGAGGGGTTAGATGAAGACATCCCATTCAGGGCTGAGTGCTCTGAGGCTTCTCTCTCTGTACAGTGCCCAGTTGTGGGTTTCTGTGTTACTTCCCATGTACTGCAAGCTTTTCTAATGAGGGGTGAGTGAGACACTGATCTATGGATATGGCAGTGTGCCATTAGGAGTCATTTTATTGCTGTTTCTTTAGCAGAAGAAGAGGAATAGGTTTCTCCCTTTCCACAGGTCCCCAGACCTTAGCACAACTGATGCCATGTTAGAGATACAAATGCACCATTCCTCCTAAGAGCCCAGCATATACACAACCCAACATGCCTAACAAGAACAAAGACCCAATCTGTCATTGTCTGTAGTTCTGGGG